ACGAGGCCAGGGCCAAAGAAGGACTACACCGACCTAGCCAGCCAGGCTCATCCTCCCTTTTCAAACGCATCCTTAACTTGCTGAACAAGCTGTTCCAGGCCCAGCGCGCGGATGCCTGCATCATCCTGGGACATGCGAATGACCCGGGAATTCTGCGGAAAGTCGGAGGTCAAACAACGGGACTGGGTCGTCTCTCGAGCGCATCCCGAAAACATCCCCACCAATCCCGTGCGGGGACCTTTTCTTACAGTTCCTCCTGGACAGCGTGACGGACTTCTCCCATCTTTAAAAACAAGAAACGGTGCCGATGAGAAAGATTGCGACGAACATGAAGCGGCCATTCGTCGGCAAGCTCCTGAAGATTGGTCATCTGATACGCTGCACGGAGATCTCGAAAAATATCAGAGATGTCAGACGCCATGGCAAATGATGGGAAATCCAATATGATTTTCTCCCGGATGAGGTCGTGAGCACGGACGCAAATCAGCCTTCCTGATGTCTCTGTTGCACACTTCGAGATGATGTCCTGAACTATTTGTTCAAGGGTCTGCGCCATGAGGCGATCCGAAAAGCCGAGAATGGGGAGCCGACGAACATCTTCGAGCGAATCCGAAAGTTCACCTGGCGCGCCTGTCGAAGCATCCGAACGAACGTCGATCGCACGCCGCTTGCCGAGGACTGAATGAGACGCGGGAGACTTAGAGGCGGCCATTTGTTGAGCTTGCTCAACAGCACCCAACCGAGTCTGATCCGCATTGAATGAACGCTTCTTATATTCGGCGTTTCGACATTGGGCGGAAAGGGAGGAAAGGGGGGGGGGTCTGTCTCGGGTAGGGGGGCGAGGGCCCGCGCCGATCGGCGAAAGAATGAACAAAAAAACGCTCACTCAAGGATGTGACCGAACCTGGAGCTCAACTCCTGGGCGGACTGATCTTGGATGGCGATCGTGGCATTGATACCCGAAATCTTGCTATCGAGCATTTGTCCAGTCGCTTGAAGATGCTCGGCGAGCATCTCCTTCAAGGTCGCGAGATCGACGGCCATGGCTGCAGACGACCAAAGGAGAGAAGGAGGCAGGAACTCGCACACGGGATAAGAGTGGGTGGATGAGCAGCCACCTCTTGGCCGCGGCTCTCGAGCCGTGGCCGTTGGCTACTATCAAGATCGAAGCCACAGGCGGCTGGTTTCGAAAGAGAGCCAAAATTGCTACGGAACATGGTCATGATCATGATCACGATCGTGAGATGATCGTCATCATCATCATCAGCAGCAGCATCATCATCCTCGTCGTGGACATCGTCATTGGCGGTGGTTTCGTCATCGTTGCAGTCGCCGTCGTCACCCGTACACAGCGTCGTCACCATCATCATCATCATCATCATCATCATCAGCAGCAGCAGCAGCAGCATCAGTATCATCATCACCATAATCATCATCGTCGTCGTCAGCAGCAGCAACGTCAACATCATCGCCATCGTCATCATCACCATCAGCAGCATCATCATCATCATCAGCATCAGCATCAGTATCATCAGCAGCACCACCATATTCTGCAGCAGCAGCATCATCAGCATCGAAATTAGCAGCAGCATCAACATTACAATCATCATCACCATCAGCATCATCAGCATCGTCATGATCATGATCCTCATCAGTATCGTCATCATCATCCATCATGATCAGCACCATTATCATCATCAATCAATCAGCATAATAATCATCATCATCAGCACCATCATCATAATCAGTAGCATGATCCGCATCCTCATCATCACCAATATCACCATCATCATCGGCAGTATCAGCATCAGCAGCAGCATCATCAGCATCAGCATCAGCATCATCACCAGTTTCAGCATCCGCATCATTATCAGCATCATCCACACCAGCATCATAATCAACGACAGCATCATCATCATCAGCAGCAGCATTATCATCACCATCATCGCCATCATCATCGTCATCATCATCAGCAGCAGTATCGTCGACATCATCATCACCATCAGCATCATCAGCATCGAGATCGTCATCAGCAGCAGCAGCAACCGCATCATCGTCATCAGCATCAGAATCGGCATCCTAAGCAGCAGCATCATCGTCATCATCAGCATCATCATCATCGTCAGCATCGTCAGCCTCAGTACCAGCAGCAGCATCATCAGCAGCAGCATCATCAACCTTACCATCATCACCATCAGCATCAGCATCATCAGCATCAGCAGCATCAGCATCATCATCGTCATCATCACCATCAACAACAACATCAGCATCATCACCACCACCATCATCATTAGCATGAGCAGTTGTTGCATCATCACCAGTACCACCTTGCTCCTCACCATCGCCATCAGCATCGTCAACATCGCAATCACTACCATCATCGTCATCATCATCACCATCGTCGGTATCAGCAGCAGCTTCATCAGCAGTAGCCGCAGCATCCTAGTCACGTCGTCACCCTCATCCTTGGAGAAAGGATGGGAACTCGCACGTGCGGCACCTGCTGCAGGACGCTGTCCTTATCGACCTCGGCCGCCCTGAGTTGCGCGACCGCTGCCACGTGCCTCTCCCGCAAGTCCCTTTCCTGAAAAGGGCGCGACCGTCAACAAATCCCGACCACACAAGCTGAACGGGATCGGAGCAAGTGGGGCCCGAGGATAACACTGCATCGCCCATGCATCGGCGATGCATCCGCGATGCGTCCGCGACGTCAAAATGAAGCGAGTCGGGCCCCGAACCGCGTCGCATCGCCGATGCATCCGCGATGCGGCGCCATCCTGCGACCCCGTCTGCTCAGACATCATCTGGGCATCACTCCTCACTCAACATCATCCTTACTCCTCCTCTTTCTCCTCCTCCTCCTCCTCCTCCTCCTCCTCCTCATCCCCTCCTCCTCCTCCTCATCCTCTTCCGCCGCCTCCTCATCCTCCTCATGCTCGTCTCCCTCGTCCTCCTCCTCCTCCTCCTCCATTCATTCTCCGTGTGGAAACTCCTCCATGTCGCACCCCGAGGTCGGTCGAAAGGGCGGGCCAGGCGTTTCGCAGGAGACTTCCTCACCATGTATGACCCTGAAGCTTGAAATTTGCTAGAGCTTCACGGATGGAAGGCGGGTGGTTTTCGAAATGTCGTTATCGCCGTGGCGCCGCGCGCAGTCGTCTTAAAGCATTGCAGGAGCTTCACGAGTGGAGGGCGGTCCGTTTTCACATTGTGGCTCTCGCCTTAGCGCCGCGCGCATTCGTCCTAAAAGCTTGCAAGCGCTTCGTGCGTGGAGGGTGGTTCCGTTTCGAAATGTGGCTCTCGCCTTAGCGCCGCGCACATTCGTTATAAAGATTGCAAGAGCTTCACGGATGGAGGGCGGTCCGTTTTCAAAAGGTTGCTCGCGCCTCAGCACCGCGAGGGCGGTCCGCTTTCAGAATGTGGCTCTCGCCTTTGCGAAGCGCACATTAGTCTTCTAAATTTGATTTCGCGAATGTAATTAGGGCGGTTCCTTTTTAAAATGTGGCTCTCGCCTTAGCGTCGCGCACATTCGTCTTAAGAGTTTGCAGCAGTTTCAAGGATTTTGATAGTTAACGTCCCAGAAATCCGCCGACCCTGTCGGCGTGTGGAAGACGCATCCCGGTGTCGTCGTCTTGCGTGGGTCACCGTCGTCGTCGTCGTCGTCGTCGTCGTCGTCGTTGTCATCGTCGTCGCCCGAAATACAAGGAAATCGAACACGACACATAAGGAAATCGTAGTCGTGGCGAAGCCCCTCCCTACCCTCCCCACAAGGGGGGGGGAGGGGGGGGGAGGGGGGGAGGGCAGATACGCATCCCCCCGGGCGACCCTCTCCTCCCCCTCCCCCTCCCCCTCCCCCCTCCCCCTCCCTCCTCCTCCTCCTCCTCCTCCTCCTCCTCCTTCTCCTTCTCCTTCTTCTCCTCCCCCCCCTCCTCCTCCCTCCCCTCCCCTCCTCCTCCTCCTCCTCCTCCTCCTCCCTCCTCCTCCTCCTCCTCCTCCCCCCTCCTCCCCCCTCCCCTCCTCCTCCTCCTCCTCCACCTCCTCCTCCTCCTCCTCCCTCCTCCTCCGCCTCCTCCTCCTCCTCCCCTTTCCCCCCTCCTCCTCCTCCTCCTCCTCCTCCTCCTCCTCCTCCTCCTCCTCCTCCTCCTCCTCCTCCGCCTCCTCCTGAACACGTCTTCATTGACCTCCGACGTCTTATCACGCATCCCGTCACCCTCAAGGACCGAGGTATCCAGGGTCGGCGGCACTAGCTGTAAGGCCTTGGCAATAGCATTTTTGCACGATGTCGGAATGCCAGGGCGCAACCGTTACGTTGATCCGCGGTGTTGGAACTCCTAGGAATGACTTTCTGGCACGATTCAGGATGGCCAAGACGCAACAGTGACGGGGAGTTGCGGGGTTGATGTTCCAGGAATGGCGTTCTGGCACAATTCTGGATTCTAAAACGGTTGTCGTCCAACGTGGTACTTCCCTCAGTGACAATGAATCCGTATAGGGGCCTATGAAGAGGGAACGGGGAGGGAGGGCGTATTGCAATCATTGGAAGCATTGGTGAGTCTTGGGTTTACTCTGGTCATCCTCCTCCTCCTCCTCCTACTCCTCCTCCTCCTCCTCCTCCTCCTCCTCACTCCTCCTCACTCCTCCTCACTCCTCCTCACTCCTCCTCACTCCTCCTCACTCCTCCTCACTCCTCCTCACTCACTCACTCCTCCTCCTCCTCCTCCTCCTCCTCCTCCTCCTCCTCCTCCTCCTCCTCCACTTGGAAAACCCCTTCTGGAAAGATCTCTGCCTCCGCTCCTGGGAGGTCCCCAGGGAGGCCATCGGCCCCCCTGGTCGGTCGCACGGACGCCGCGCTGCGGGACGCCTCCTGCGGGCCCGAGACGAGCCAACAAAAACGCTCGAAGGAGCTGCTCGAAGGAGAAGGAGAAGAGGATCGGAGGAGGACCAGTCGAGACAGAGGCGGCCCTCCCCGCCGGGGAGGGCCGCCGCGTGTGCGCATCCTGGGAGCCTCTCGTCGCCACGCCTGGATCCACGTCGAAGAGCATGGCAGGATGGACCCCGGAGGGGCCCATGGGTCCAGGGACGGACTTTAAAGCGGATCCGGAAGAGAGAGCCGCCGCTGTCTCAATTGCCCCTCCACCGGAAGGAGAGAGGAGGAGGAGGAGGAGGAGGAGGAGAAGGAGGAGGAGGAGGAAGAGGAGGGGGAGGAGGAGGAGGAGGAGGAGGAGAAGGAGGAAAAGAGGAGGGGGAGGAGGAGGAGGAAGAGGAGGACCAATGCAAACCCAATACTCATCAACGATGTTGCAACAACAACAACAACAACAACAACAACAACAACAACAACAACAACAACAACAACAACAACAAAATCAATCCTAATTCCCTCTTCACAGGTCCCTACAAGGATTTATTTCACTGGGGGAAAGGCCCCATTGGAAGACTGTTCTTGTGCGATGTGGAGCGCACGCTGCGCGCCCCAACAGGCTGTCCGTGAGTCTCACGCACGTCTGCAGCAGAACTAATTAATGGTGAGGCGGCGGGGACCACGGGAGGGGGACGGTCACGAAGAGGAGGATGAACCGTGAAAGACAACCGTCTGAAAATCCTTCACCGTGCCAGAACACCGTTCCTGGAACTTCAGGCCACGAAGTGACTTGACTGTTGCGTCCTGATGATCCTGAATCACGCCAGAGCACCATTCCTGGGACTTCAACACCAGGAATCAACTTGAATGATGCGCCCTGACAGTCATGCATCGTGCCCAAAATCACTTCTGCTACGTCAGCCAAAAGAATAATCGAAACTGCAATAAACTCTAAAAACGAATGTGCGCGGCACTGAGGCGAGAATCACATTTCGAAAAAGAACCACCTTCCATCCGCGAAACGCTTGCACACTTTTAGGACGAATGCGCGCGGCGCTGAGGCGAGAGCGACACTTCAGAAACCACCCGCCCTCAATCCGTGAAACTTTTGCCAAATTTCGGCTTCAATCTTATAAATGGTGAGTAAGTCCAGGCCGAAACGCCTGGCCCGCCCTGTCGACGGGCCTCGGGGTGCGACAGGGAGGAATGACTCACAAGGGGAAGGAATGGAGGAGGAGGAGGAGGAGGAGGAGGAGGAGGAGGAGAAGGACGAGCAGACCAGCAACCTGGTCGCTGCACAAAGGAGGGAAAACTGAATAGACGTAGACTCTCAAGGGTGCGCGCGGCTCTCTTGGATCAGCGCTGCGCGCGGAACGCCCCAGGGCCAGCGCAGGAAGCACCACTGGGGAGTCCAGCGCAGATCCAAAAACGCCGCGCGGGCACTCGAGTGTTTATGCTTATGTTGCTTCTTCGCGCCTCTGGGACATAGCCACGCTGGCATGAAGCAGGCGCGCGCTCTGTGCTCAACCTCTGGCAGCGCTGGCGCGATCCGCACGCCAGGGGGGGCCCAACGCAGATCCGAGAAACCCGCATGGACTGGCAGCCTCTGCTGCGCCTCAAAGGCACTGTCACGCTGGCATGAAGCAGACCCGCGCACTGTGCTCAAGCGCTGCACCTTCTGGGAGCGCGCACCTTCTCGGACTACCTACCAGACCATCCCAACCCAACCCGAAGACCCGAATTCTGGGCTGGGTGGAGCATCTTTTGACCGATCCCCATCCCCAGCGGCGCGGCCTGGGCCCCACTGGCCAACTTCCCCCCTAGATGGGGATGTAGGCCTTTCCCTTCGGGTTTCGAGGGGTGTATCCCCAACTGGGGTGGTAATTTGGTGGGGGTCTCGGAGGGGATGAGGATGGGGACGGGGATCGATAAAACGATACTGAGGTACAGGCTTCAGGTGTGTTTTGTTCAGTGTTCTCCGACCCCCCCCGCTGGGACTCGGCTCGGCCCGGCTCCGCTCGTGTGGCGCCAGAAGGCAAAATGCCGAGGCGCCTAGGCGCCGAGGAGCCTAGGCGCCTGCATGGAGAAATCGGCAAAACAGCATTCACATGTAAAACTTATGCACGAGAGGCGTCAGAGGAGGAGGAGGAGGAGGAGGAGGAGGAGGACGATCGGGGCCTTCGGGTTGGGCTGGGGTGATTCTCCGCGCGCGCACCTCCCGAGAGCGCGCGCGCGGCCCGCAGGTCGGCCGCCGAGGCGGCGCCGGCCTGCCGCACCACTGGGCCCACTGCTCGCGCGGGCGGGGCAGGGCCGGCCAGCACCGCATCGAGAGATCCGGACCGGGCCGGGACGCGCCAGGGACCGGGCCGCGTCGGCAAGGGGCCTGCCGCACCACTGGGCCCACTGCTCGCGCGGGCGGGGCAGGGCGCGCCAGCACCGGAGCAGGAAATCGGGCCGGGCCAGGACGCACCACGGATTGGGCCACATCGGCACCGGCACGGAGTCCCAATCGGATCGGATCGGCCGCGGCAAGATGCACGACAACACCACGGGCCGCATCGGGTCGTCGGAGCATCGTAGTCCGAATCGGACCAGGTCGGCTGGAATCTGTCACAGGCGGCCCCCTATTGCGCTGAATCCAAGGGTGCGAATCGATGTCCAATAAAGAAAGGTTATGCTTGCATGTCTTCCAAACCGGATATTGAAACCTGCCCCCGCGCCAGTCGCCCTCTCCCTCCCCTCCCCCTTCGCCCTCCCCCCCCCCCCGCCCCACCTTGTGCCCGCTCTTTCCCCTGCCTTCCGCTCCTCCTACTCCTCCTCCTCCCGTATCATCCTCCCCGCCACTCTCTTCTTTCCCTGTCTTCCCCCTCCCCTTTCCCTTGCCAGCGCCTCAGCCCGCGAGACGGCAGAGCCCTGGGGTGGCGAGTCTGCCGAGCACTCCGATTAAGCAAAACGGCTGAGTGAATTTGGAGAGCAAAAACATGTAGCAGGAGAGCAAATTCTGGAGAGCAAATCTGAGGATGTCCCACGCGTTTTGCCCGATCTAACGGCGCCAACAGTTGGAGAGCTAATTTCTTGAAAAAAGTCTGACACGGCTTCCCCCGAGTGGTTGCCCAGACGGTTCGGGGGGCCGGTTTGGCAGAAGACTTGCTCCTCGATTTGCTGCCCCGAGTGCCAATGCATGTTTTCCTCTTCAGCTCCCTTTGCTACCATGGCCAGCCGAAATGCGAGCGTACAGATGAACGTCGGTTTACACATGTACGGGCACGGGGTCCTCACAACACTGCCCGATGTGCAACGACTGCGTGCCGTCGAGCGGGTCTGCACTTCGTCCGCAATGCGAATCGCCAACATACAAAATTGAGTACAGACGTTATTTTGCTCTCCTTGAATTTCGCTCTACAATGAAGCCCGATCAGTGGAATCGGTATCGAATCGAATCGACATGGACCATGGGTAAGGAAGAGGAGGGGTATGTCCCGCTTTAGCCTCACGAGGCTGCAGCTGGGCTTGACCGCAGCTGCGCCGAACCTGAACTTGTTTGAAGAGAGGAGAGCAGGTTGAGGGAGGGTGAGAGGGAGGCAGGAATATATGTATATATATATATATATGTAGAGAGAGAGTGAGAGGGAAGAGAAAGAGAAAGAGAAAGAGACGTGAGATATAGATAGAGACGAGACGAGACGAGATGAGAAGTAACATACATAACGATATACAAACTCAACAAAACTCTGTACACATGTGCAAGGGAGAAAGGGAGAGAGAGAGAGAGAGAAAAAACAAAAAAAAAAAAAAAAAAAAAAAAAAAAAAAAAAAAAAAAAAAAAAAAAAAAAAAAAAAAAAAAAAAAAAAAAAAAAAAAAAACGGTTTGGGATTACAGAGACACAGAGGAACAGAGAGTGTGGAGAAGGAGGAGGATGAGGAAAAGGAAAGACGAGAGATGAGGAGGAGAAGGAGGAGGAGGGGGAGGAGGGGAGGAGGGGAGGAGGGGGAGAGGGAGGAGAGGAGGGAGGAGGACGAGGAGGGGGGGAGGAGGAGGAGGAGGAGGAGGAGGAGGAGGAGGAGGAGGAGGGGGAGGAGGGGGAGGAGGGGGAGGAAGAGGAGGAGGAGGAGGAGGAGGAGGAGGAGGAGGAGGAGGAGAGGAGGGAAGGGAAGGGAAAGGAGGACGCGGAGGGTGAGAGGGAGACCGACGAGGGGAGGGGAGAGAAAGGAAAGGAGGGGTCCCGTCCATCCCCTCCCCTCCCCATCCGCGCCACCCCTCCCCGCACCTCGCACCCATCCCGCCGCTCCCCTCCCCTCCGAGGGGAGTGGAGGCAAAGTCGAGTCGAGCCAAGTGGCCATACACCCAATGGCGCGTCGGCAGGCGCCACATGACGAGCGTTACACGTTCGAGAAGCAGAGGAGGACGGAGGGAGAGGGGGATATGCACGACGCGGGAGGACGAGAGGCGAGGCGATAGGTCTCCTTCAGCGCAACAAGACAGCCCACGAGGCGTCGAATGCCCGAAGTGGCGCGATGGAAAGAAAGAACTATGCAAGGTTAGTCAGCATCGAATCGAAAAGTCCGATCGGATCGGTACGAGCATCGAATCGGGCTGCATCGGCTCGGAGTTCGCATCGGGTCGAATTGGCTGCGCAGCGACCCGCAACAACGCCGTGCGAACATCGGGCCGCACTGGACCGTGGGCAGACTGAAACAGGATCGGATCGAACTGACAGACATCCGTATCGAATCGGACCGGTCGAGGCGTCCAAGAGGGGGATCAAGAGGGGGGGTCGCAAACCATGGCCAGAGGCATGTGCGCAGATAATGGGGGCCAAGACACACATTGAAAAAAAGAAGAGGGCGGTATGAAATCCAGGTAAATGCCATGGCCCCGGCAATGATATCTATACACACACAGTCATCAACACCCTCGTGGACCATCCCTGAGAAGTGGGCACTGCGAGCATGAAGGGGAACTTTAGGGGGGGACTAGCCTGGGGGGGGAACATCGATCTGGGATTGGCAATACATCCCCTATCGGCGATGAACGAGCGACTACGGGTCGATGTACTCCCCCCTGAGCCTATCCCGCCCGAACGTTGCCTACCGGTACTCGGGCCATAACTCGCTCTCCGGCGGCCGTTGAGGACGATCCTGGCACCCCCGGAACGGCCTAAGCGAGGCGCAGCTGCTAGAGAGTATCCCGAGGCAGAAAGACTACCAAGAACCTACGAAAACGCCCGAAAACATCGAGCGTCGAACCCTGAGCCTACCCCAGGCATCCGATGGCTTGATTGTTTCAATACGCCAACCCTGACGTTGACTCGGAAGAAATGGGCACTGCCCAGTGTCTGGCGCCCGCGTCCGACGGGAGAGAGGCGAGGAGATCGGCTCCCGCTCGCAGGAAGAGGAGGAGGAGGAGGATCGAGGATCGAGGAGGACAGAGGAGGAAAAGGAGCAGGAGGAGGAGGAGGAGCAGGAGGAGGAGGAACAGGAGGAGGAGGATCAATGACGATCGAAGAGGATCGAGGAGAGAGGCACCGACGGTGCAGGGGGGAGGGGAACCTCGCGAGGGTGCGGGCCAGCGCCGAAGGTCCTGCTGCTCGAGTTGCTCCTTCTCGGACTCGAGCTTGCTCAGCCGCGCCCTGAGCGCGTCCTCGTCCGTCTCCTTGGCCTCGGGGGGGGGGCAGGGGCGAGGGAGTCATAGAGGAATGGACAAGCTGCATTAACTTAATTGTTTGGAGGTCCGCGCGGAACTGCGAGAAACTGTGTCTATGCCCTTTCTTGTTTTTTTCGAACGCGGGACAGGAGGGCGAGGACAACGAAGACCACGACAGAGACGGCCACGGAGACTGCGACGAAGGCGGCGGCGACGAAGGCGGCGACAAAGACGGCGCAAAGACGCTGACGAAGACGGCGACGAACTCGAGTAGAAAAGGGGTGAGGAGTAGCGGGAGGAAGAGACCAATGAGGAGGAAGTAGCTGCCGATGGGGGCACGAGAAAGTGGCTGGGACTGGAGGGAAATGAGACAGGGGAGAAGGCAGCCAGGTAAGCTGACCTCGCGCTTCTCGCTGCGAGAGGCAACATGCGAGGTCAATCTCGCGCCCCTGAGGCCGAGGGAGGAGGAGAAAGAAGCGCCACGCGGGCCTGCCTTTCCACCCACGAAGCTGACCTAGAGGCAACATAATATAACCTCTCGAACGGAGGAGATAGCGACGGGTCTTCTTCCAATATGGGGGATGCGTTTGAAACCTGAACAAGCCGCCAGGCCTTCTTTTGCATGCGCACAACAGCGCAGAGCTCCCTCGGCTTGTCGCGGCCTGGAGAAGTGCGACGGGCAACCAACGTTACGGGATGCTGTGCTTAGCCAGGTGCGTGACTGCAGGGGCAGGCTGCCACGTCTGCCCAGAGCAAGCTAACGTCGTCGGGCATAGACAAGCATGTCCTCCTCCTCCTCCTCCTCCATTTCCTCCTCCTCGGCCCTCGGTTTTTCATACCAGCCGCAGCATCATCACCACCACCACCACCACGACCACCACCACCACCACCACCATCACCACCACCACCATCATCATCAGCATCGTCATCATCATCAGCATCAGCATCATCGTCATCATCGTCATCATAATCAGCATCACCATCATCATCACCACCACCATCGTCACCGCCACCATCATCGTCATAGGCACAACAATCATCAACAGCATCAGCATCGTCATCGTCATGGTCATCGTAATTACCACCATCATCATGATCACCACCACCACCATTATCATCATCATCACCACCATCATCATCTCATTATCAGAATCATCATCATCATCATCATCATCATCATCATCATCATCATCATCATCATCATCCGCATCATCATCATCATCCCCACCACCACCATCATCATCATCACCACATCACTGTCATCATCATCATCGTTATATAACATGGTCGTCGCCATCATAATCATAATCAGCATCATCAGCATCACCACACCCATCATCATCATCATCATCGTCGTCATCATCATCATCATCATCATCATAATCATCATCATCATCATCATCATCATCGTCGTCATCATCATCATCAACATCACCAGCATCATCACCATCATCAGCATCACCACCACCACCACAACCACCACCACCACTTCCACCACCACCACCACCGTCATCATCATCATCAGCAGCAGCATCATCATTATCATCATCATCATCAGCACCATCAACGTAATCATCAGCCGCATCATCATCAGCATCATCAACATCATCATCAACATCATCATCACCAGCCCCATCATCATCGTCATCCTTTCCACCACCGCTACAATCACCACCATCATCATCATTACCACCATCATCATCATGTCAATCATCGTCACCGTCATCGTCTACGTCAGCAGTACCATTTTCATCAACATCACCACCATCATAAAAAAGTGTCACTATCACAATCGTCACGAACATCAACACGAACAGTATCATACTCATCATAATCGAATCATCGCCATAATCAGCAACCGCAGCATCACCACCATCATCATCATCACCATCAGCACGACCACCATCATCATTACAATCAGCAACCGCGGAATCAGCATCATCAGCATCAGCAGCAGCAGCATCACCGTCATCGTCATCATCGTCCTCATCCCCATCATAATAATCAGGAGCACCAGCAACAGCAGGTGCATCATTGTTGTCATCATCCGCGTCATCAGCACTATCGCCGACAACAACATTAACAGTCTCAACTCGTTGGTACATCAACATCATCATCGTCATCCTCGTGATCCTCCTCATCACCATTTTTCACCTGATTATCCCAATCGTCATTATAGGGAGAGAAGCAGCACGGATAGAGCGAATATGATCCGATGGTTCTGGCCACGCACGGGCGGAGGTCTCGACCTCCGATACCGACGCGTCACTTATATCCGTCGATGCGGAGCGGAACCCTTGGCCTGAAAGAATGCGCGGGCTGGAAGCTGCCACGCGCGTGGCCCGGCGCGCATCAGGACAAGGAAGAACAAGGAAGGACGAGGTGGGACGACGCAGCGGTTTCGAAAGTCGCGCGGCCTGCGCGCGCATTGGCCGCAACGGACGCAGCCATCGCGCATGCCACAAGGAACGCTGAACAAGAGGCGAAGCTGAGGCCCATCGACGCCCGAACCCGTGAAGGGGGGACGAAACAGGGGGGGTCTGGCTCAAGGGGGGGAGCACGGACCTGGAAGCGGCGATCCATCGCCGACAGATCGGAGGAAGGGCCTCGAGATCATGACTGAACTTCCCTGGGCTGGCTGGGACACCCAGGCCCCGATCGGCGAGGGATGGGCAATCGGACGCCGATGCTTCCCACCCTGGGCCCGGCCCCACCCCCGTCGTTCTATCCTGGGCACAGCTGCGCACGCACGCAACGCACGACGCGATCTCGCGATGGCTGCAGGACAAGCAAGCACCGAATCGGGCAGCAAGATCGAATCGGACGCGTCGGATCGGGCAGCATCGGCACGAATTTGGAATCGAATCAGACTCACGCAACTTGAGTTCCTCGCCCCGCGATGCATTCCCAGCGCACGCATACCTCCAGGCAAGTAGCAGTCGAGAACCATGTCGGCCGCGTCCCTATTTCGGTCCACGACATGCTTGCAGGCCTTTGGGAACATGCCGTCCATATTTTTCGCCAACGCCTGCGCCTTGGCCGACGTCAAGACCTCCTTGACCCAGGCGGCCTAGGCCATCTTGCCCACGGGCCGGCGCATCTCGCGCAAGTCCTCCAATTCCATCGACCCAAGCTTCTTGCGAAGCCAGCCCCAGAACATCTATACAGGGTTCATATCGGGGCAGCTGCGCCCTATCTCCATGCTGATCTTGGCTCTCTGAAACCCTTCGATACGTCGGAATCCCTTCGTTATCGCAGAGACGACGAAGCCGTGGACGCTCAGGCGCGTCTACCCCTCAACGTCGCCGCCACCTCGCCATGGCGGCACACCCCACGCACGCTTCGTGGCCCCATGAGGCGCTTCACCGAAAGCCTCAGTGAATGCGGTCGCACAACACCAATTCATCATTCCGGCGCTCCCTCCACACTACGCGGCCCCATGGGGAGATCCACCGAAGGCCCCGCCAGCCGCGGTCGCACGCCGCTCTCTCTCACACGCCTCGCGGCCCCACAGGGAGCCCCACCAACGGCCTTATTGGACCCGGTGAATGGACTTCGCCATAACCACCATCGCTGTTACCGGCATCATCATAAACGCCATCACGATCACCATCTTCATCGCCATCGCCATCGACGTGACACGGGCATTGACCGGATGAGCCCATGAAAGACGGAACGGCCAGCAATTTTCCCTTGCTAATTTGGTTCACTTTCCCGCGACGCACGCATTCCCATCGCACGTACAGAAACGACAAACACCAATCGAGAACTAGTTTTCGGCCGCGGCCCCATTTCGGTCTACGACGTGCCTGCAAGCCTTCGGGAACCTGCCGCCCACGCTCTTCGCCACCGTCGGCGCCTTGGCCGACTACAGGACCTCCTTGACCCAGGCGGTCTAGGCCATCTTGCCCGAGGGCCGGCGCTCGTCGCGCAAGTCCTCCAGGTTCATCGACCCAAGCTTCTTGCGAAGCCAGCCCCAGAACATCCCTGCAGGGTTCCTATCGGGGCAGCTGGGAGGAACACCCCAAATAGCAACGCTTTTCGCCCTGCAGGCCTCCATGCAGATCTTGGCTCTCAGAAACCCTTCGATATGTCCGAATCCCTTCGATATCACAGAGACGACGAAGCCGCGGACGCGCGCGCGCGTCTACCCCCTCGACGGAGCCGTAGACGCGCGCGCGCCTACCCCCTCAACGCCGCCGCCACCTCGCCATGGCGGCACACCCCACGCACGCTTCGGCGGCACACACCCCGCGCACGCTTCGTGACCCCATGAGGCGCTTCACCGAGGGGACCTGGTGGCAGCGGTCGCATGCCGCCAGCTCACGATTTCGGCGAACACTCCTTGTCACACGGCCCCATGGGGAAATCCACAGAAGGCCCCGCCGGCC